ATACCTATTTAATGTAGCTTTCTCGTCGTCAATAAAATATTGATTGTTTCGGACACCTTGGGCTTTACTGAAAATATTATTTTCAAATTTCAATAGGCAATAGAGTAGCTACATAAACGCTATACACAATTAGTTAGGTGATCGGAGACAGTGCATTTCTATGGAGTTCTTATATAACAGTATACCTAAAATGATAATATAGCCAATAAAGATGTTTATTTATGTACAAGTTTATAAATAATAATATAGCGAACTGAAGGTCAACGGATTTGCGAGAAACACTGCTACTCGCATTTGAACATCGACAGTAAGACACGCACGATTATCATTTTGATTAATACTTAATACTACCCTTTAAGTGAACGTCGAAGAAAGTCTCAATCGCTGAACGAGCCGTAGATGTATATAATATTATATATTATTCATTCGATATAAATGAAACATAATAATCTAATAATAATTACATCGATTATCGGAGAAAACTTCAGTGACTACTAACATGGATAGAGAAACAACCCGGACAAAAACAACTTTTAATGTTATACGTAAAAAATATATACACACTTAATAGTTATTATTATAATCATATACGCCCATAATTATATGGGATGCAACCTGTGCTAATTGTGTGTGCAGACCGATTTTAAACCATTAAAATAATTTTTTAATGCTAGCATTAATCTTTCAGATTCTAAGTGAATCGAACAATATATTGGTTTTACAATTAAGAGAGGTATTTTTTGTACCTAATTAGTTTAGTTTCTCGATAATATTTCAAAAACAGAAAATGAAACGATATTAATAAAATATATTTTATGATTATTGTTTATTGTTATATAAAATTATTTATGTAACTTTTGTTTTCAATAATAAAATTTCAAACATTGTATTACATAAATGTACATATATGCATTTATGTAATAAATACATTACAGCTAGTAAATCAGTTCATAATTATAATTTCAGGAATTAGGATTGACTTTATAACGAATATAATAGATATTGAACGAAGCCATAAAAAAAATACTCAAAAAAAATGTCTTAATTTAATTCAAAAATTTAAATTGTGTAATTAAAATTTTTATTGTTTAAGTTTCTTTTTATATGTTAACAATGTAAAATACAATTTTAATATTATAATATAAAACGGAATATTTTTTACGAGTGGAGCATTGGTGCGTTTAGAAACCCCGTAAAATTTTAATTTATTTATCTAAAACTTAAATATTAATAAGTTTCAATTAATTAATTACTCGTTTAAAATTCAATATTTATACACTAAAATATTCCAAAAAATTATCTGTTTCAGATAAAAATTAAGAACAAATGTTATCGTTTAATAATTGAAAAGCTTAAAAACGTAAGACATATAAGTATTTTTTAAATATGAATTTTATTATAATATAAATTTATTTTAAATTAGGTAGATACATTAATAGTTTTTGAAATAATTAGTATTTTAAATGTTATAAAAATCAACTTACATAATAAAAGTGTTTACAGTTATATGCGCGCGAAATACAAATTATAAGTACCTTTAATATACGTATACATAAATAATAACCAGGGCTAGGATAGTATAGGATTTTGCATTTTTTTTAGGATTTACAGGATATAGCTTTTCAAGCATAAAATGTGATTTAGTCATCTACGAGTTCAAATATATAGTTTTTATTTTGCATATTTTTGCATTTTTTGTACTTTTTTAAATTTAGGATCATTTTTATTAAATACTGGGTTATATTTTTTAAATTTAAAATTTTTTAAAATTTTAAATGGTCGTTATTGATCGTTATAAATTATTGTACAAACATATAAAGATACAACATTAAAATAAAATCATAAACATATTTTCTAAAAATATTTAATACTTCAAAATACTAATCGTTTATATGTATAATATAAAATATACTCGTTAGATTAATAGAGCAATAATCGATAATAATGTTCGATTACGTATTATCTTCATCAATTTATTATTAAATTGAACGTGCCAAAACCTATTAATTATACGTATGATATTGGTTTTTATTTATTTAGTTAGTGTTTTGACTTTCAAGAGTGAGTTACTTTTTATAAAATAATTAATTACGAAAATATATAATATGTCTAAACAAAAGTGTTCTCAATCAAATCATTTGCGACAAATTCGTTTTCGAATTTGGCGCTGACATTTTTTCTACCGATGGTTTAGTATTATATTATAACTGGTGTGATATTAAAGTTGCAGCAGATAAAAAGTTCACAATTCAGCAGCATATAACACATGATAAACATTTACGTGCTGTTCAAAAACGAAAAAAATCAAACAACTATAATATTAATTATTATTTATTAATTTATTAATATAATTATATTTTTTTCGATCATTTTATGAGGTCATTTTTTCTTATTGAGTCATTTTTTTTGATCATTTTTTAGTTTTTATTAGGTTGTTTTTTTAGGTTTTTTAGGTCATTAAAATCCTAGCCATAATAATAACTAAAATAACAACAAAAACAATAATTGAAAATTCCCGAAAACTTACACGAAACATTGAGCCTTGACCTGGACAACACAAAAAAAAAAAAATTTAAACTCTGGACATTATTTAAATATCGTGTAATTTAATAGTATTGATTCAATATCATACTATTCGTGATATAAGTATATGTATTTTGTAAATCACTTTTTTAATTTCAAATATTTTACAAGTATTGTAATCAATAATCATCTTTCATAAACCTATCATTATGACCAATACCAATAATGCTATTTGTTATTATTATTATTATTATCATTTTTTTTTTTTTTCAAGAAAAGAAAAAAATAACAATCACGTCTCCGGTAAAAGTTCCGGTGACTTACGATAACACCTACACTGTGTATTATTACACTATATAGTACAAAATAATAATATGAACCATACTTTTATCATCACGTAGTCGTTACGACGCTGCACACAGTGTACACAATATCATGTGGGATACGAAATGCGCTCGTTCGTGTATGCATCTTGTAAGGAGTATGTGTGTACAGATAATGGGATGGATAGTACGCGGGTAGGTATGTACATAACATACGGCATAAGCTATACAACATTGTATGCGATGCGTACTCACGCTGTACCTATACTTAAATATACCTATACGTATTGTACATACCACGACTGCGGTATATACCTATATATTGTAGTGACGCGCGGTACAACGATATTGACCACACACTGCTGTTGTCGCTGTTGCATATCACGCGCATTCCGATCACGTTTCCCGATACGGAACGGTCATCGTATCGCTTTTGTACAGAGGTTTCGACGGCGGCGAAGACGACTTCCGACCTCTGCCGGATCGGATTCTACCGTAAAAAATAGAGAAAAAAAAACACTCATTCGCTTTTTTCTTTTATTTCACATCTTCGCGCGCCGGTTTTATTATTATCATCATCATCATCATCATCGTCATCATTATGGATATTTTCTTTTTCGCTCTGCCGGCGGCCGCGCGCGTAAACGTCGATTGTCGTTTCTCCGAGTTTTTGGATTCTCTTACCTGATCGTACATAATAGTTTACGTACACACGTACAATAATAAAATAATGTATAATATCATATTATTAATTGGTGTGCCTGTCGCCCGGAGCGCGTCCGTTGCTGGTTCCGCGCCGCTTTCGCTGTCCCCCGGGAGAGATGTGCGCGCGTAAACGATTGTATTTTTATTTCATATAAATTTTATATTTGTTCGTATATAAACGTCTTTCCGGTATACCTATATGTCTTTCTACAATGTACGCACCGTACGCACAACGGTGATTAATTGCGCTTTGCATGGTATCTATGTTTTTTCCTTTTTTTTATTTTTATTTTTTTGATGCTGTTGATGTCGTTGTCGGGTTTTTTAATCCTTCAATTACTTTTTACGGCGGTATAATTTCGATATCGTCGCCCGAAATATTGATTCTATACGCTTATAATGTATGTAAGCGCATATGTACACACATTACATTATATTAGTATGTAATTATATGGTCGATTAATACGATCATAACGCCCGAGCAAGGTATATAGTTTTATCTATTACAAGTATCTGTTCGTAAATACACACACACACATATATATATATATATATATTTATTATTTTAGGACTGTAGTGTGTAAATTATATGATGCGTATACCGGAACTGAAAAATATATAAAAATTCCCCAAACAAGTCACGACTTCATTTTGTTTTCAGTAGGACCTATTTACGTATACCTATCTATTATAATTTATTACTCAAATAGCCAAAAAAATACGCGTTTTTTATTGTCTACAACATTCTCCGAAACGTTTGTGATCGACTGTTTGAATAATGTTATTAATTTTTTAAGTGTATACTGTATGGTATATTAAATAGGTATCTACTATTTATTGAGTATGTAAATATGTATATTATCTAAAAATTTTTTTACGGTTGACAACTACTGTATAATATAGGTAGTACGCATCAACGTTTATTATTGGTGAGATTACTGATTTTTACTTATTGCGTAGTCGTGTAAAGACAATAATAATACCTTATAAATGTATGTAGCATATACATAATACCGATAAATCATTTATGTACCACGCTTCAAAATAATAGCAGAAAAAGTGGAATTCAATTTTCTATATTTTTCTAATGTATTAGAAAAGTATAGAAAATATATTATATCAAATTAAATTTTAAAAAGAATTCTAATTGATTTAGTGTTGTAAATCATATATTTTAAATTCATAACATTTTTCACTTAAGCCATTAAATAGAGTAAAATAATATATTATTCGGTGAACTATACAAATATACACTATTATTAAAAAAAAATGTAAAATAGAAATGCTCTTATAATATAATATTGTGGTTGGATTTCATACTTTATCTTTAGTATTTATTTTTTTTTAAATATTATTACTCTCTCTACGATAATATCATTAACTATTTTTTTTCAATGATTATGTTTTTACTTGAAATTAGTAATTAATTATAAATAATGTATGTATACTGTAAAATGATAATCTTAATTATTTAAAATGTACAATATGTAGATAAAACCTTCTAGAAACGTTTCTACAACCTTTGAAATCCTTTTGTTTTCGAACAATCTGTTTTTATTACCATCTCAGTGACGCAGTATAACGATTGAATCGGAAATAACGCCATTAACTTCTAATAAATACACTCGCACGTCATGAAATTCCATTAACGGATAGATTCTTTGCATAAAACTAAATAACCACCTATTTAACACATCACTTTCGCTTACAGATTGTGAAACATATTACCTATATATTATCATATTTATTTGTAATAAGTAAAAAATAAAAATATCATTATAGTGAATAAATAAATAATTTAATGTTTCGATTAAAATAAATTAAATTAAACGATCAAGTTACAATAAGAAAAAATATTTCTTCAAGCCTCAATTGGGTAGTTTGAGAAAATGAAACGCGGTACGTCATTGTTGGAGTGGTCGGACGGTGATTGAGTGGAAGATCCGTATTGTTGTTGTTGTTGTGGTCGTTGTTGTGGTTGTGGTTGAGGCTGTTTTTGTTGTTGTTGTTGATGCTTTTGTAGATGTTCACCTTTACGCACTGGGCACAGGCATGGTACCCATTTCACGTCAGAATTAAAATGGGTTTCAAAGATAGATTGCAACTGAAAAAAAAACAAAAAGTTGTACGACAAACTAGACATATTATAATAAATTATAAATTATAATATATATTCCAGATAAAAATAGAAATATTAAAGTATAGGTTACAAAATTCAATTTTTGTAAAAATACAATACTGTGAATTTCCAAAAAGAATACCTAAGCACATTTTATATCTATTTTATTTATTTATTCGTAATGCAATTAAATTATTTGAAATAATATTAAACAACAACAACAAAAAAAAAAAACCTCAAAACAGTATATAATATTACATTCTTTATAAACAGAAAGTACTGCAGTAGTTTGAATAAAAACAATTTATAAAATATATGAAAACAATTAACGGGGAAAAGGTGAAAATAGCTGCCATGACTATTTACATACACATACTTTCTGACACCGCATATTAAACGTACACATACATATTATAATATCTATAATATGGGCATTCTAATAAGTGCGTACCTACTTTGCACAACAACTATGGTAATCACGCTTTCTTAAAGAAGCTCACTGTTTTTCAGTATCATTGAAAATAAATGGTAAAAAGTAGGTAAATAGAAAAAAAAACAGAAGTTTATTGATAGATATTGCAGGTATAGTTCGGAGAAAAATAAATAACGAATACGGTTATAAATACAACAATGGTGGACCTTATGGAATAAATTGGTGGGATCACTTGGCAACGGTGACTTTAACGAACGGTAGTAAGAGATACCTGTCTATCGCAGACATGGCTCAAAGGTAAGCACACGTCCATGCCAATTATTGTTTAAAAGTGTAGTTAAAACACAAACGCGCGTGCACGCAATATGATAAAAAAAAAATGTTAACTGAAGGAAGCTGAGATTCTTGAATTGATAGTTGTTTTATTTTTTTTTTTTTGTAGGGGGGAGAAAATTGTAATATACTTGAAAAAATCCCACACGAACGACTATTGCACGAGTGGAATGACGAGAGTATAATAATATAGTAACCACAATGTATACACTATACAGTATACAGTATATAGTATGCACACACACACACGCGCGCGCGTATATATATAAACTATTATTACAGATACCCATAAATATATTTCGGTCTACTGAATCCATTACGGTGCGTTGCCGCATATATAACCCGTTCATACTGTCGTGCTGGTAAATTATACACACAAGTTAAAGTCTACGCTGTTACGAAAGGATAAATGACATGATATTCTGGAAGGAAAACTCGATAATATATTGATGTGTACAAAGTAACTACCTATATAGTAATATACCATTACGAGAAGCCAAAGTCACTATACCTATACATACCCTAAGGATGCTGCAGCGAGTGTATCAATTTACGACTGTCATAACGCGGCTAAGTGTACTCCGATATACATATACGATGAAAATTGTTAAGATCTCATAAAATGCAATGTAGTAACTAGTGGATATATTACGACAACGACTAGTCGACATCATTATAGTAATATCACGTGTATGGGACGAATTTTTTTTTTTGATTGTACAGGTATGGAAACTACACACATAGTCAGACGATTTGTTTAGCATACAAATAGGTGTGTGTAGCGTGTACCTATGAAGGCTGAGGAAGCCACAGAGTCGACACATTTGATGTATATAATTCAGGGAGCCCACTATATTTGATAATTACATGTTATTTTTTTGTTTGAAATTTTACTCGTCTAAACAATTCTAGTAAGCTGTAGCATAAATTATTTACATATTATGCTTGAGTCGGAAAAAACACATATGATATTAGTCAATATAAATAACCAAAAAAGCGTTTCTGATGATTTAATGATTTATTATACCCCCCCCCCCCCCCGTCTTACTCATATGACTAAAACACTTATAAATAAGTATAAGTAATTTTATTCATTTATTTTATAAAAACGCTGCAGGCATAATTTATTTTGTAATGAGTAATAGTAAGATATAAACCATGGCTGTTTTTTATAAGTATAAAATACGTGGCGTGTATCTAATTTTAATGTTCATGGAAAGAGTTTAAATTTTAAAATGTTACTATAAATCAAATTAAAATATTTTAATAAATAGTTCGAAAAATTAATCATTGCTATTTTATATAACTTTCAATTTTCATGTTCTAACAAATTTACTACGAATAGTTACTAAACTAAATTAATTTTTATACACTCGCAAACATTACATGAAATACCATTCAGATGGCGAGGATTCATTATAACTTCATAAAGTAAACTCTAGCACTTATTGCATTATTTCACGCTATAATTATTATTTATTGAGGGGAATTTTAGTATGAACAAAAAAATTATAAACTCGTAGCCCGTTTTAGTCCAATGTATATACAATATACGTACCTATCGTACCTACATCATCTATTAAGCGACTTGCGCATTTAAGTCATTTAACATTCAAATTTAAAATATTTTTAATTATATTCCGAATACTGTAATGGTTGGCGTTTCTGTGAGTAAATAAATAATAATACTGCTACTATATTATACCGTTTATCACAATCGAGTTATTAAAATACGCGGATAATTTTTTTTTTCTTTCAAGAAGTGACAATTTAAAAGCAAAAAACATCGCTGAAAACGAGGACACTCACGCGTAAACGAATGTACAGCATCCGAAACAGTTTACAATTATTATTAGCGCAAACGAGCAAAAACCAGTAGATTTATGACGAATACATACGTGTGTGCATGTGTATGTGGGTCTCTGACGATAAACACACATTGGCGAAAAACCCCTCTTCGCTTTTTACCCATTTTTATTACGACTATAAATCTCACGGTTGCAATCGGCACATCCACGCGCGCTATCGGCGTTGAAAATAATACGCGCGTACATAGTGGGACATTACGCAGATACAGATAGATACGTTAGGTATATAAGCAAGTATAAGGTATACGCGTGGTACCTGCACGGACGAGAATATACACCGCGTACATGTCATACGGCTCGCCGCCGGTCGTGCTCATCGATTTCTCTCTCTCGTCGTTCAAAACTCATAAGCATACGCGCTCAGGGTTTGACCTTCGGTGTCACTTTCTTCGATCACGAACACCGAACGGACACAACGGCACACACATAGTATATAGTATATGAACACCACGCGCGCGGGGGCTTTGGAAACGGTTTAAAATAATATACGAATGTATAAGTAAGGTGTATGGGAGAAAAAAAATTTACCTACGTACGAGTAGTACATGTATATACGTAATACAAGTACGCGTACCTATAATATAATGGGCGCATTATAGAAAACCTCTTTCAGATTTTTCATTCCGTCGTCTGTTTTTTTTTCCGTTGGCGATCCTCGAACTCGATAAACTTCCGTGTACGTATCCACGGTGTTCACGTACCATCCAGCTGATTACATATACAAGTACACGCATAAGAAAGCGTATGAAGCACGGCACCCCGACAGATGAGACGACGATGGCAAGTAATATCGCTGTATTATGCGTATAGGGTGTAGCGTACAAGCGTATAGACGACCGATAAATATTGAATGCCTCGCGAGATCTTTGAACAGCATATTTTACACGACGACATTGGTACGGATGAAACGTAAATATGATTTTAAAGTATGCATATAATTTGACGATGGAATACTATACGCGTGTCACCCATTTTTATGTACAAATAACAAATAACGTAATACAATAAATTATTCATTTGATGGATAATGCGGCTGTATAACGAAATAGGAAAACTAGACAAAAAAAGTGTATTTTGAATTGGTTTTTGAATGCTGTTATTCGACAATATCTGATTTCTGGTAAATTCAGAGTTGACTAGTTAAACCTTAGATGTTCGTTTTGGATTTGTAAAGCTCGAAACGGTATTTTATTCGATCTTTTACTTATTTAATTTACCTACATTCTACCAGCAATAGTTAAATATGCAAAATGTAATAATAATTAAAAAAAAAAAAAATTATATTAATCGTATCCTATTTTCAACAATCTAAATATATTAAATATAAAAACAAAAAAAAAAATCAGCACGCTTACATCGTAAAGGGCGATTAATTACAAATTTAGTGTAATTATCTTCATAAACCATAATTAATTTGTAATCATTGTCTGAATTTAACTCCTTGTCAATTAAATCGATTTCACACCGATAGTCAATTCTATGGTGTAAAATTGATTTAGCGACGAGTTTCTTTCTCGGCTTACTATACGGTTTATTCGGGTAATCTTGAATTTCCTTGAAAAAAAAATGATCATATATCATATATGTGTTTATATGATTTTATGATCGCATTTAATATTTATTTCATGAAGTCAGACTCTAGTTGTATATTTTGTTAGTTCTCCTTGTTTATTTTTCTTCAAAGTATAAATAATTATTTTTGAAGTATTTGAATGGTTTCTATATAATGTATTTTATGATGTGTTAAATTAAATAAATTAAGTGTAATTTGAATATTAAAAAATAAATAAATTGTTTACGGAATACAAAAGGAAAAAAAATAAAAAAGTTGTTAACTCTGAACTAATTATATCGAGTTATAAATTATATTACTCATACGATTAATGTACAACAATCTGAAAATTTTAATTTCCCGTGAAAATATTAAAGTAAGATTTTTTTACTATTCTCTCGTTAATATACGGCTTAAAATGATTTAGATAGAATTTTTTTTTAAATAGAAAATCACGCATTAAAGGATTAATATATTACATTGTTTCGTATAATTTATATGAATTGTCATTGTAGTAATAAAATAATGATAAAATGAATAGCCATTGTTTCATATTAACTATATTTTAATACTCATAACGATTTTTTTACAAAGTACTGACATTTTTAATCAAATTTTAAGACAGAAAATTTGAATTATACATTTTAAGTATTTAATAAGAACATCCTGTTTTACCGATAATATATCTTACAAAATAATTCTAAGCTTCTTACATAATATATAATGTCGATTCATATATTATTATGAATTATATTTTGTTTTATTTTATATATTTAATTAATTGATAAAAACAACAAAGCTTAACTTTTAGGCGGTGCTGTAATATTATTAAATATTTTAAATATTGCAACTAATAAAATATATTATCTTAGAAATTAAATATTGCGTTAATAATCATAATATTTTCGTTTTTATATACTCTATTATTTACCCGACTAGTATAGACCAATTTTTAGTGTTTGTCAAGTAAAAAATATTCTAGAATGGACAATTAATATTATATGGATCACACAGATGTCGAAAATACATAAGATGTATGTTTATAAAACTATTGTTGTATAACATGTACCTACGTTTTAAAGTATTTTAAAATACCTCGATTAAAAGTTTCAGTTTTCAATTACTGTAATGTTTAATAAAATTAACTGTATAAATACGAGCGCAATGTGTAATTCGCATATCATTAACACTTAATTACTCAGATCGTAATTAATAGTCGGTAGTTAGTTTTCACGCGATGAGCACGAGTGATTTACATGCATGATTAACCAAAATTAAAATTGAATTAAATTACATGCTTAAATGCTTAATTAATGAATGAAAAAATATTTTAACAACTTATTATTTGATGACTAGATTCATTTAAATCAAACGTAAATTCACTCGTTACGCAGTGCGTATAATTACAACGAACATGCGTAAATGACAAGTAGATTATATATATGAAGAATATATAGATATATTGTATACTATCACAATATATTAGACTGTCAAGCACATACATAAGAAATTTTATTGAATAATAATGAGAAAAAATTACAATGGTGCTAATGATATAAATGTTAATAGCCGATAAGTAGATATTATTTTTATATAGTACTATTTACTAAACATATTATGATGACCCAAAATTGCTTCTATTTTAATCAATACATTTTAAATTGCTAAATAATAATTCACTTTATTTTATATTTTAAATCAGCCATCAAATATAATTAAAAATATCTAGAAAATAAATATTGTATTATGAATTTTTATTTTATTTCATATAGGTGTATTGGGTAAGCGTAATAAATTGAAGCCTTAAATTGTAATAATATGAAAAAATGAAGAGATTAAACTATGAAAGTTTTTTTAAAACTGTATAACCGTAGATAAACATTTAAGAGTTTCTTGAATTAATTAAAAAAGTTACAGACTTTTGAATTTGATATATTATTAAATTTTGAACAAATTCATAGTTAATTGCATTTAAATACTGTTTTTAACTTAAATTATTAAGAAAAAATAATATCATAATTATTAGGTACCTTTTGTTGTATTGGTACAGGTACTGCTACTGCTACTTGATTTGGTACAGCATTTTCACTAGATTCTGCCGGTTTATGCTTTCTTTGCCACCAATGTGATGTTTCTTTTTGTGGAACTGGCCTGTAGGTGCAATATACTGATTTAATCAATGAAAATTTATAATTGTATGATTAGAATAATTGTCACCAATGCATGATTCTGTCAATACTATATTTTACAATGTATATATAAGCTTTACTATTATTTCATATTTTAGTATTTTATGATGTAAAAAAATAAAAGCTCTATTAAATAGATTGTTTATTGCTTCTATTTGACTGAATAAGTTTTTAAGTAAAAATTTAAATTTTTTTGTACTTTTTTATTTATCTCAGAAAAATATTTTCAAATTTAAAAAATATTTTTTTAAATGCGATACATATGTTAATATATTATTGTTGATCATAATTTATTTCTATTAATGTTAGGTTAATAATTTAAAATAAACTAGTCACTTACCCTGATGGAAGGGCAACATTATCTAAAGGCAAAGCTGGTGTAGTCGATTTTTTCCGGGAAAACAGCGTTTGATCCGTACTCAAGACGCACAGGATTAGGATCAGAATCGCCTGTGTAACGAGAAATATATATCTAATATAATTATTGTTATATAATGTGCTTAATATAAATGTAATAAGACTCTTAATGTGTGTTGTATTATAATTATTATATATATGTTTATTAAATTAACTAAAATATTATGTCGTCAACATGGTGTATTAGATGTACTGGTATATAACAAATACACATTAATAAAACTTTACATGAAAAAATAATATTCTAATACGCACATAATATTATGTGTTATGTATGTATACTATAAATATAGAAATCTACGTACCGTAGGGGCGACGTGTTCGGCGTTGGAATACATGACGTGAATTGTGACCAAAGACTTGTTTTGGACGCTACCAACCCTATTTATATAGGCACGGATAAAAAAGTAGAGGTAGTCCTATTGCCTTGTGCACCCGTATACCCAGAAGATGAAGACGAGGGTTACGAGGATACAAGGAGATGTACAGTGTCGGTACATCAAACACGAACCCGAAACAGATAATAATTATCTACTTCAGTGGAAACAGGAATTAAAACGAGATCGACAAACTACAGTGTTACTATATATATATAAATTTACCTATAATAAGGGTACATTTATTTTCTCCCGTTTCCCCTTGTCTTGGTCACACATGCGTATAAGCACACGTGCATTTCGTCCTAACCAACTTTGTGGTTCAACCGCATTCCTGAATTGTTTAATAACTATTTTTATTTTTTCTTCAGGAGCTCCTCGAACAATCTAATAACGTATGTATGTATGTGTGCGTGTATTAAAGACAGCTCTTCTTTAAAGTTAATTCACTATAATGTAAAAGCTATAAAATATATATACATACATATATATATATATATGATTAAGAAACAAATAAGAATGATACAACGGGATTCGTAGAAAATGGAGGTAGTTAATTTTTTTTTTTTTTTTTATTTTGTAAATAAGTTCAAAATTAGCTTATCATCTCGTTAAAGTCCAAACTAAATTCTAATTAAACAAATATTTAATAATAAAATTTAAATAAATTACGTTTACTCACGCCCATTAATATTTAGACACGATAAACAAACTATACAAAAAACTCACCATTCTAATGTTTACTTTTAAAAGGTAAAAAACATTAATTATGAATATATATATATAATGAAAAAAATGTTAAATTATAGTAATAGATGTAAATGTTTTTAAATATTCTTTGATATTCGTTTGTAACCAGTATACTATATCAATAGTAGATTTTTAAAATTAGAAAAATTATTGTAAGACTTCAGTGGTGATACAGTAGTATTCGTATAACAAATTTAGATAATCATTATTGAATATTGGTATCATTAAGACACATTGAAATTTACGCAAAACAATCTCCTAAGTAGAAAAATACGTAATACATTTACTATAAAAAGTGACCGAAAGTTTAACAGTGTTCATAGTTTTTATGTTTATATATATTTTCGACTTTCGTCAACACTTTTTACAGTTTGTTAAATCCTGAACTATAATACAACTTACGAAAGAAGTAAAGCATGTCCTAGCCAAAACGCGCCCAAGTTGACCCTATAATACTGATATTTGAAAACAATTAAGTCCGAACAGAAATTACACTTAAAATAAAATACTATAAATTATATACTATTAAAACAAAATACTTTTAATAACTGTACTTTTCGTTACTGTTTTTGGTATATTATCGCAATATTGTGCCTGAGAGGAAATATACATTTCATATTTGCATATATTATATATTATATTTTATGAATCAATAGATATACAGGTATTATAAGACAATCGTACGTTGGTTTTTATGACTTATGAATAAATATTATAATAATAAAAATTATTGTAAAATAAATTAAAAATGTCTGTACGCAGTTTAATAAAAATATTATCATAATGAAAGTTGAAAAACATGAAAGACCCATCACCATATCGTATAGGTTTGATTACATATTATAAATTAAAAATAAATACCTACGCAGTGCGTAATGGATTGAAATTTTAATAATTTAGCAATTTTGAAGATTATAAAATACTTTAATCGGATGATTTAAATATTTTTAACATTTATTATTTATTTTATAAAATATGATATATTATGAAAAAGATAAAAACAAATTATCTATCACATACTCGGTTAGTCGTATTGCGATATTATACAAAACCATTGATAGAAATGACCAGAGTAATGCTTGTAATATAATAATTTAGCTCTAAATTTTCTGAAAAAGCATATTGAGTATCATTTAAACCACGATATTTTTTTAATCTATGTATCTATCGAGTGTTTTAAATATATAGTACATATATATATATATATATATATATATATATTTATATATTATATATATACATTCAGAACCGGACTTTCGATTTTATTTTATTTTTTAATATTTTCATTTAACGGAGGTGTCTATGGTAATTTTAAATTATACATAAATGATTAGGTTATATCCTTATTCGGCTAAAATGAATTTACTTTTTAATATTATTGTTCAACATTTAAAATATAAGGGTTAATATTTAATTGACTACATATATTTTATATAATACCATAAAGGCGCTTTTCATGAAACGCTCGGTGTACGCTAACCATATTATATTACATATCCCATACTTTTGTTGCTTGTAGTTAATTTCTCAGTTTCCTTTTTTAGTTTCCGAGAAATCATAATATCAAATATTCAGCGCTCCGATTTAAATATTTTCATTCGGATAATACGACATGCGCGCACCATTTTGCATACACGCATATAATAACGACTACAATATAAATAATTTGGGCTGCATATTTGGTATTATACGTGTTTATCATTATTGTTGGAACATGCATAATATTATTACGCTGGTCGGCATCTATAATATAGTATAATATATACTATTACAAAGCCTAACCCTACGAATTATATGTTGACGGCTCGACCTGCACCTGCAGATGCGCAGTGCATATATACATGTATATATGTATAAAGGCACACCGCGTATAATATATTATATAAATTACTGTTGTTTTAATAATAGGATAAAAAAAAAAACCCAAGAGGAGAGAAAATAGAAGTACAAAAAACTAATAACGACCAGACTGGTTTGGTTAATGGTAAATTTACATTCTTGGAGGAGAGTGTGGTAGGTAGGTATAGGTAGGTACCCCAAAATAAAATCATCATTTTTTTGAATTAGGTACCTATCCATTAAATGTATACAGAGATGTACTTTGGTCAACTGGTTTTATAACGCCGCACCACCATCCGCGAGTGCATCCTAGCTGTCGTCATTGGTGAGAAATATATATTTTTATTATTATTATTATTCATCTTTCCTGTTTTTTTCTCATGTTAAAGCAGTTTGAAAAAAATAGCCCTCCGAGCTGGTAATTACATCGCTGTTGTGTTATTATTGATATTGTATTTACATGACAAGTGAACGCATATATTACGAGTATGTATGTATATATTGTATATAGGTGGTAATATACACGTGTATGAGACTTATATATAACTAAATTACAAAATTCTATAGGAAAAAATAACATTTTCTTTTAAAATAATATACACATCATGCGTACGTGTAGTTAACGGTTTGTTTTAGGTGATCACGTTGAACTCGCACAATAATAAAGACTATACCTAACATCTATAGTCCACACCTACTTATCCTACTCTATATCGTTTATTATATATATGTGTGTGTGTATTATAAATCACAACAGAGGCCGGCGTTTGTGATTTAATTGAGATCTCCATTTGTACATAACATGAATAATGTGGGTAACATCATAAAAAAAAAATAATAATAGTATATAAGGTATGGTTATGTAGAAGGATCGTATAGTTGGAACGCTCCGGCTGGTTCAAATTTTAATATTATGTGTACAGTAAGTAATTATTAATATTACCGTCAATACCTTTCATTTATAGGCTTAACGGTAGTTTTCCAAGCGATTTCAATGTTAGTAATTTACGAATGATTTGACCGGTACTCCGGTGTAACATTACATAATATTATTTTGCCTATTGTCGTCTATAAACATGGTAATATACTTAAAATACAGGGCGATTCACCATTATTCATCAAAAACACTTACCCATATTATTAAATTTACCAATTAATTTATTCATTTTGATTTTTGGAATTTTTTGGTACACTAAATGACCATATTTCTTAGTACTTACATTTTTTACACCATTGAAGGTAAACACTTCTGTTTTTCAATTACAATCGTTCTTTTTTTTCTGTCAGTTGTGTCAATTGTTGATCAAATTATTTTTATGAAAATGCCGATGTATCTAAATCAAAATGTAAACGTGTAGTTTCTTAATTATTAAAATGTATCTTATCATTCTAAAAATAGTCTTTAAAATAGTTTTATAAGATTTAAAATTAATATAATATTAGACCTAATGTAAAGTGTTGATAAATCATACTTGGAAAATTTTTATAAGAATTATAAGATACCTATTGATAAGTCAATATAAATTACTCAAATTTTCAAATTTTCATAGCCCCCATATGTTTTAAATCTTTTATTCTCAGTATATAAAGTTTCACAACTCAATAAACTATAAATAATTTATAAAGCTACAACGATAAATTATACTTGTATGTGTAATATTATTATTAGGCACCTTATTTATAATTTATAATAACTAGTAAAAACGGAACCCGTAGTCTTGATTGGAATCTAACCGCTTTAATGTTGAAATATCAACTAATATTGTCTAATAGACATATCTTATTAATGTATTGTCCAAATCTTTTAAATATTATTTTTAATTCTCAGCGATCTCTTTGTAAAGAGTTTAAAGATGACATTTTAAGAAGTACTTACTTCGAACACACTACGTTTTGTATGAGTATGACTGTTGCAGTTTGCGATCTTTTCTTACGTTTATGAAAAACGATATTTTTATCGTATAAGTACCACCGAGTTAATATGCAATACAAATACCTACCGGCTACCATTAATATTGAAAATTAAAATCCTTTCAAAAATTTACTGCTGTAGACTTATGTCTATATTTTCTGTATAAGTTTCGACGCTACTGTTTTTTACAATGGCTTACAGAAACGAAATAAGACTTTGACTTCAAAATTAAAACAAAACACTGATATTATAATAAATCGTGCAGTTTGGGGAACTATTCACAAATCGAAAAATTAACTTTCTATAGTACCAACATGACGCTATTTCCACTAGCAATAATATATAGTTGTACTTATATAGAATACAAACATAAGAATATATTATCTTTATACTTATACGTACAAGAATTTTTTGGCATTGCTTTGTTCTACAAAAAAATATTTTTATCCATTGTAAAAAAATAAATCAGAGATAAAACACGCATATAATAATATTTTGTATTTTATTCATTTAAATATAATTTTTATTGTAATATATGT